AGTGCGCCGCTTGGGAAGTGTGGTGGCGCTCCCGCCGAGGGTTCGGATCCCACATACAGACCGGTTCCCGCTCACTGGCTGAGCGAGGCGCGGGAGCAACACCGAGGGTTGCAATCCCGTTGCTGGTCCCGGTCCGGTACGGGGGCGACACTGAGGGTTGCGATCCGTTGCCGGACACGGAAAAAGACAAAACAAAACAAAAAAAGAAAGGGAATGGAAGGCATTGTAGGCGGAGGGAACAGTATGTGCAAAATATCAGAAATATGAAAGAAGTTGTTGTTTGAGGGAAGCAATGAGAAGATTGATTTAGCTAGAACTGGAGAGCAAGATAAACTAGGCTTCTTCTGTGGTCTGGGGCTCTCAAGGTCTCTTCCTATTATGCTGTCATACGTATACTCTTCTTCGTATGCAAGTACTCTCTCTCTTTTTTTTTTTTTTTCCTTTTTTTGTCTTTTTACTGACCGGCAACGGGATCGCAACCCTCGGTGTTGTGCCCGCACCGTGCTCAGCCAGTGAGCGGGAACCGGTCTCCACATGGGATCCGAACGCTCAGTGGGAGCGCCACCGCGCTCCCAAGCGGCGCACTCTCCAGTGCGCCACCGGGCCGGCCCTATGCAAGTACTCTCTGAAACAGGCTGCATCTCCTCTGCAGTCTTGCTAACCATTCTTCAGAGTTGACATAATGATATAAGGGTACTTCATAAAGTTTGGGGAAAAATAGAATTATAAGACAATATGAATCTTTCCATGAACTTATTGAAGTACACTTGTATTCTCTAAAAAGCCTTCCAAGATGCTCTGGCCCACCTGATACCTATTGCCCTTTGTGAACCAGTGCAATTCACCTCCTGAGTTAATACTGACAGATGTTCATCCAGAGTGTTTCTGTATTGTTTCCTACTCTAGAAGGATTTGCTATTAGTGAAACGTCTCGTTATGCCCAGAGTGGAGGCTTGTTGTTTGGTTACTTGCATTTCTTAAGCCTTGGTTACAGGTTTATTTTGAGGTTGTTGAACTTACCATTCAGCTCAGGAATCTATCATGTTGGGGAATAAAGTATGGTGAAGTGAGACTCCCTAGGAAGTCTTCTCTGACCCTCCCAGAGCTAGTAATTCATTTTTTTTCTTTGTCTTAGTGCTTGTCAACCTGCCCTAGAACCTCCTCTTGTTTCAGTGTCTGTCTCCCCAACTAGATAAAGGGCTCTACTGAGGGATTTGGTGTAGTTTATCTCTTGTGTTTTCAATAGTCTGGACACAGAGTAGGTATTTGTTACATGTTTATCATTTGTTGGGAGTCAGGAACAGGACTACTAGTCCCAGATCTACCATTTTGTGACTTTGGGCAGGTCACTTCCAATCTCTGTAATTCCAATTTATCTGTAAAATATGGAGGTTGAACTCCATGACCAGTGTAATAGCATTTATTCTGCTTAGATCAGTCAGGATCTAGTTGAGGAGGCAGGAATCACACTAATAATTTGAATAGGTAAAATTTAATGTAAAGAATAACTAGGTAAAACATAGTTAACTATTAAAAGAGATAAAAGAAAACTGTAAGGTATAATAGAGGTAGTAACTGCAGAAAATGACTTCCATCCCTAGGTCTGAGGAAAAAGTGAACAAGGAAGGAAATTAGGAACTTAAGACAAGAGAGCGCCACAGGGCTGAGATTCAGACCTCTGAAGAGAGTGTATGGCTGCTGTAGCAATATGCTGCTTGTTGCTATGATGGAGAAACTGGCTATAGGGTGCTTGCCTCAGAACCTGGAGAGTCACTGCATTGAAATCTACCAAGACCCTCCTGCACACTGATCTACTTGCTGTCTTGTAGAAAACTGAACACTGGAAAAAGTCCCTTCTTTCTCCTCTCGCCTGTAGTCTCCTTTCAGCACCGTGTATTGGCAGAACCTAACAGGCACTCAGCCAGGAAAGGAGAAATGTTGTCTGTAGTCTAGTTTGGTATTACAGAGCAGGGCAATGAAGAATTGGTTTGAAACTGTAAGGCAATAAATTAATAACCTCTGTATTGTAATTGTGTGTTTTGACGTGTGTCTTCCTCACTGCATCATGAGCTTGGTAGTGGCTAGAATAGTGTCTGATTTGTCTCTCTATCTGCATTGCCCCAGAAGGGGCCTGACACTAAAGAGTTGCTTAGTAAATAATGTTTGAATGAAGGAATGTCTCTCTAAGATAGGGAAAGTTAGGTGTTTCTTCAGGTTAGCTTAATTCTGATTATTCTTGTAAGTGATTGGGACTGGACTAAGTATCCTCCCTAGCAGCTCTGTTATTCTGTCAGTTAAAGCCCTATTCAGTGTCATTTGTCTTGTGCCTGTTGTGTACATAGCTTATGTTAGATGCCAGACTGAGGACAGAGAGAACATTCTACTGTTGGTATTCATATATTCTATGATATTAAACATATCCCCTTTCCTAAAGGGTAACAATCTGAAATACAGAGTAGGTACTTTGCATATATAAGTGTATTTCTCAGAAGGGCAAGGAGACTAGCATATTATGTGTCATGTACAGTTCATTTCATCCCCACAGTCCATTGTTTTATATCATTTTACAGATAGAGAAACTGAGGCTCAGAAAAGTTGAAGGACTTGACCAAATTTACATAGCTAGTAAACAGCAAAGCTGAGACATGAGCTCAGGGTGACTTCTAAAATTAGAACAGGACAGCACCTCCCTTTCTCCTAGCTTGAAGGCAAGCGTAGTGTTTTTGTTAGCTGATGGTAGTAGAAATCTGTGGAATTAATTTCTCTTTCTGGCCATTTGGGGCTGGGCAAGCAACAACAGAGCAAAATAGCAGCACTTACAAGGCTGCAATGATAGTGTTTTCTAATCATTGGCCTTTTAAATAAGCCAGGGTGAGCCTGAGCTTCAGACACCTGATTTGTGAAGCAGTTCCTATCCAGCAGCAGGGCATTTTTTTTTTTTAATCCCACACTAGCAGCTTACAAAAGAATTCTGATACATTCTCTACAACTTAAGTTTCTCTTTTCTTACTCCTACAGGTATCTTTCCTTTTCTAGGTGCTGAAGCTAGATAGACTACTCAATTATTATGAAGGAGTAAAATTTTATAAGGCTTGTGTTTGTTGCTTCTGGGCCAGCTCA